CCACAACACAACGCAAACCATGTTTAAAAGCCAAACCATACAACTCATCAAAATATCAGAGTACAAATCCCAGTGAATCTCGTAAATGCGGAAACCAGAGTGTGTGCATGATGTGCCGCTACCGCGCCAGCTCCTTCCCCTTCGAAGAAGAGGTACCTGAAAACAAAACTGTAAAACGTAAGCACAAAGCTTAGTGAGTTCCCCTACTGTACCACATACCACATAATCACATAACATACGTAAATTTGTCAGGCATATCTGGGTGCCCGACCTACCCCTTCGGTCCTCTCGACCGGATACTGCCTAGCATATCTGGGTGCTGGCCTCCCCTTCGGTCCTTTCGACCGGATACTGCCTAGCATATCGGGTGTTGGCCTCCCCTTCGGTCCTTTCGACCGGATACTGCCTAGCATATCTGGGTGCTGGCCTCCCCTTCGGTCCTTTCGACCGGATACTGGGGACTATTTCACCCCTACTACTACCACATAACACATATATCACATAGTCTAGCAACCCTAGATGAATATCACAAAGACAATCATCTAATCACACATCTCCTACTGGTGGGCCGGCATTGTGGCCTTAGACCCACCGCTACTGGAAGGCAACTCACCTCAAAGCAGCTGCTAAACTGATCGGGAACTGACTGACCGCTGCTGCTGCTCCGGAACTCCTCCGACTGTAATTCCCACAACATACTCAATCACACATTGCTAACTATCCTTTGGGTAAAATGACCATTTTACCCCTGGTTTAGCCCTAAGTCAAAATCAGAGTCAACTTTCAGTTGACCCGACTCGCCGAGTTGGCTCTCCAACTCGCCGAGTCCCTATCCAGACGATTGTCCTGAGTCCCTGATTCTACTCGTCGAGTTAGGCTATGACTCGACGAGTTCTTCTTCTAAACTGACATTGAAGTTCTTCGTCCTACTCGCCGAGTTGTATGAACAACTCGTCGAGTTCATCTTCATCCGATGAACACTCATGCTTAGACTCGCCGAGTTGTATGAACAACTCATCGAGTCTGTTCTTGATCTATGAAGATTGCCTTGGACTCGCCGAGCCAGGCCATGACTCGCCGAGTCCTACCATGGGTGAGTTCAGCTTCCAACTCACCGAGTCACCCCCTGTGACTCACTGCTCAAACTCGATACAGCATAAAGGGACTAATTCGGTGACTCGTGAGCAGACTCGCCGAGTCACATGAACGACTCGCCGAGTCGTCGCCATGCATCCATTAAATACACCGATTTGTTCGATTTCAGTCCATGCCATTCATAGATCTGGGCTTCTAAGACACGAATCACACGTAAAGTTTCCAACTTTACGTGTAGATATTCACCAATATGGATTTTAGGGTTCAAAATGCCTCAAAAGGGTAGATCTAGGATGAATAAGCCACATGGGTCCATAAAGTTAACAGATCTGAGCTCCCGTAGCTCAATCTTACCTAGATCTAAAGGCCAATCCACTTATTACAAAACATTATGCACAAACAAGCTTGGGGAATTGCTCAAGAGTGTCTTAAATGAAATCTTAAGCATAGAAACAGGGGGAAAATGAGATATACCTCAATGAAACAGCTGAAAAACACAATGATGCTTGGATGGCTCTCCTTCCTCTTGATCTTCTTCCCCTTCTTGCCTCAAAACCTTCAAGAATACACACAAGAGCCTCAAACTCTCAAGGAACAAGCTTAGGACGAGGGTTGGGAGCTCTGGGGGTGAATGGGGGCTGGCAAGGGGCGGATATGAGCTTTAAATAGGGTGCAAACCCCTGAAACTTAGGGTTTCATCCAACAGCAGTGACTCGCCGAGTCCAGGATAGGGACTCGCCGAGTCGCCAACTTAAACGTGTCCTGGGTCTCGTCCCTACTCGGCGAGTCGGACCTATGACTCACCGAGTCCAAGGCTAAAATGGTAAATACTCAAATAAGATTTACATACCAGGAACCAGGTGCTACATAAACCCTACATATCCCCTTTTTACCCCAGCCATGCTATCCCATCTTGTCGATGACCATTACATCTTCTCCGAAGAGAGACCACACCCTACCGCTGTAGGCAAATCAGAGAAAGAGATCCCTCGATGTGTTTCCAGGTTTGTTGATTAATGAACCTAGTTTTATCGATGGGTTTGTAGGTTTCACGATTTCGAAGAAAGGGATCTCTCATCTCGTCTCAAAGAGGCAAAGCTTCGTTAAATCAAACATGTGGAGATGATGTAACTGTTGGGTTTTATTTCAAAAATAGTTTCTAAAAAATCATATCATGGCAAATAGAAGAATTAAAATTTTGAAGATAACATAAACATTTTATACACACCAATGATCACCTTGCAAGTTATAGAAAGATTTAAGCACAATCAAAGAAATGATGAAGAAATAACAACCTTTTTTATTCTTTGAGTTCTATTGGGAGGCTTGGAAGTTAATGAAGGATGTGGAACCTTTGAGACACTAACATGAAGCCAACTTGATGTAGATGCTAGTCAAAAACTCTTAAACTTTAAGTCAATATCCAAATATGACTTAAAGAGAGCAAAATGAAAGCAAGTAATTTTCTAACACTTCTTTGCAAGAGAGAAAGGGTATGAGGGAGTTACATTTTTTTGAGTAAAAATGAAGGGATGAAAGCCTTCATAAACCTAAATCATTACCCAAGGACAAAATTACAAAAATGGTCCCTATGGTTTACTAAAAGTCACAAAGTCAGTACCTATTAATTTTTTTTGATGCAATGGTCCTTGTGGTTTGCAAAACTTGCAAAGTTGGCCCTTTTTACTAACACCGTTAGTAAAACGTTGTTAGGGACTAAATCTGTAAGGGGATTTTCGTCTTTTCAAGTATAGAAAGATTGAATTCGTGATATTTGAGAAACCACAGGGACCATTTTTGAAACTTGTTTGAAAAAAATAATAATTTGCTGAAGGTAGGGGGAAGGCTCGAACTCACAACCTCCACCCCTTTTTTTTAGCAAAACCTTAACCAGTTGAGATGATTGCTCACTTGGTTATAACACCCTAAAACTAATTTATATAATAACAAAAACGTTAATATTTAAATAATAAATAAATTACAAAAAGTATTTTACTTATATAACTTTTTTTTTTAAATAAAACAAAATGTATTTTAGTCGTATTACAAAAAAAATTGATTTTTACAAAATTTTTGTATGTATTTTTATGTATTTATTTTACGTAAAATATATATATTTTTTATTTCTTTAAAAAATAAGTTTTCATATAAAAATATGTTTTCGTATATTATATATTTTATGTCTTTGAAATAATAATAATTAATACTATTCATGACATAAAAAAATGTATAAATTCTGTTGAGCCGCTAGTTCTAAAACCGTTTTTTTGGTTATATGTATTAAAAACAACTTAACTACGATTATATTATGTATCTAAACAATTTACACGTTTTTTTTATTTATTTTATATATATATATATATATATATATATATATATATATATATATATATATATATATATACACGTCAAGAGTACTATTAATATACGAAAACATATTTTTTTATACGGTCCATATCATTTTTTTTATTTCAAAGACATAAAAAAATATAATATACGAAAACATTTTTTTATACGAAAACTTATTTTTTAAAGAAATAAAAAATGTATTTTATGTAAAATAAATACATAAAAATAAATACAAATTATTTGTAAAAAACATTTTTTTTGTAATACGACTAAAATACTTTTTGTTTTATTTAAAAAAAAAGTTAGGTAAAAAAATGTTTTTTGTAATTTATTTATTATTTAAATATTAACGTTTTTGTTATTATATAAATTAGTTTTAGGGTATTATAACCAAGTGAGCAATCAGCTCAACTGGTTAAGCTTTTGGTCAAATAAAAAGGGGTAGAGGTTGTGACTTCGAGCCTTCCCCCTTTCGTTCAACAAATTAATTTATTTTTTCAAATAAATTTCTAAACTGGTCCCTGTATTTCGCAAACCACAAGGACCATTTGTATCAAAAAAATTAATAGAGACTGAATTTGTTACTTTTGGTAAACTACATGGACCATTTTTGTAATTTGTCTTACCCAAGGGTTCTTAACACTTTAAGTACCCCATATCCTAAAGCCTACATGTCCCTCATGCCTTTTAAGTCATGCTTACTTTCTCTTATTATATTCAAAAGAGCATGTATTGTTCCCTAGAAATTAGCTCTTTTTTCTTTCGTTTTTTTAATAAATAAAAGAGAAGAGAAGTTTATAAAATTCTTATAACTCTTTATAAGATATAAACTTTAACTTTTAGTTAAAAGACAAAAGAGTTTTTTTAATCCAAAATAATGTACATGACTTACTAAATCATACGATATGATATATAATATGTTACTTGCTAATAAAAAATAATATTTCTAATAAATAAATAAATTCTAATTAATCATAAGAGTTTATTGAATATTTATTAAAATCAATTTCTAATAAATAATCAATTATATCAAGTTGTTGGTAGTGTGACCCATTAGTATCATATGTTAATTAACAATATCACTTTAATATGATTCTTGAGCATAATAGATCTTTCAGTAACTTCATTGGGTTCAAGGTCGTCGACGATTAACACACTAATAAAGTATAATCTAGGGTCGTACATCTGTGAAGAATATTTGTTTGCAGGTTAATTTCAAGATCCAGTTGTACCTAAAAAGTAAAAGAAGAAATCAAAGGTGAAATCAAGATGAAGACGGATCCAACGTGCTGAAGGGTTGCTTCAGTCGGAGATAATAGAATGAGGGGAATGGGATCCGTGTGTGGCGTTTTTGAAATGGTGGGCGGCGACGTATATGACGTTTCTGGAAAAAAGATTGTGGTCCAATGGTTGTCATAGTACATGTATGACCTTTTCTGGAACGAAGAATGACAACAGTAAAAAAGGAGATCACTGACTGTTTTTCTCACGGATGGCAATGGATGATCCTTTGGAGCATACAGTTGCAAACTATTGGATGTGAAGTGGTAGCATAGATGGATGTCACCAGGGAGGGAGAAGATGTCGGTGGTGGTGTAGAAGGATTGTTGGAGTGTGTCGATGGTGGTGTAGATTGGTTCGTTGGAGATGGTATTGGTAGCTGCAAGAGTCTGTCTGTAGATTGGGTTAAAGTGGGTGTGAGTGATAAATTGAGACGATGTGTGTGAGTGAAAGTTAGAGTGGGTTCCACAAACTGATAAATTATTTAATTTACTTTTTTTTATAAAATTATAAAAAAAAAAATTGAAAAGGAAAAATGTAAAGGGCAAAAAAGTCATTTCATGTTGGTTAGGGTCAAAAATCGCAACCAAAACAAACTAGAAGGATTGTCCGAGTGTGAAAAAAAAAATAGAGACCAAACATGAAATTTGAGCAAACAACATGGACGATTTCAGTAATTTGTTTTTATTTAAAATAATGATGAACAAATATATTGATGGTACTAAACCGAATGGGTACAATATCCTATATTTCAGTTCATTATTTGATTCTTACTTTTGTGCCATTTTGATTTTGGTAATTTTGGTTCGATACTGGTTTTTGTTCGGTTCCATTACTTTTCTCGCTTCTAAATTTACAATAAACCTTTTTAACCGAATTAGAACCGATATGGTACCTTATACTTTAGGTTGATATATATATATATATATATATATATATATATATATATATATATATATATATATATATATATATATATATATATATATATTTGCTATTTCTGTTCGGTTTGGTTCCGATACCGAACTCACCTCTGATTATATAACTCATACAATTACCAAAGTCAAGAAATGTAACTTCCATATGTTAAATATAAATATTTTGCCTAAAAATAGGTACGGTTTCTTACTTAACATTTACGGTGTTTGTCTCAATAAAAAGTCAATGTTTCGAACCTCCCTTTTGAGTTTCTTTTATTTTTATTTTTTATGTATTTTTTTTAAGCTATCAAAAATATTATACATGCCAGATAAATGACAGTCGTTGTAGTAAATACTACAAGTTCTCTCTCCTATTATCCTATCCATATGCTCTGTTTTTTCAGCATTCTCTTGATTTTCTTTCCTCTCAGTATCAAAAGCAGATACCGTCTTATTTGCATATTTTGTGTTTTCCATCAACGTTAGGTATTGTTGCTGGAACATCGGTTTTCAAAAACTTTTTTAATGGTTCGGTTTTCAAAAACTTGCACTCCCGCCACATCGGTTGGGGTTCAAACCTAGTTTATAACAATTATCCATATCGTATTTGTATCTTAAAAAGTAAAGTATTTGTATCTTAAAGAGTAAAAGGGGTTAAGTGTCATCTTCACTATTTGGAGGGTACTAAATGTAACTAAACTAGAGTAACGCCGTAACGGTGCCCCTCTTTTGGTGCCCAAACCCTACTACAGAAATTGAACACAACCGCTACAGTACCTCACACATATCGTGCTCGGTCTTCTCCTTCATCCACACAACTCCGCACGCAGTAAGCATTCTTCAATGATTCTCGTTCGAATTATATTACATTATTGAGAAGTTTTGACTATATATCACCAAGTTTGTATTTTCATTCCAACATTTGATCGATGTGGTAAACTTGAATAGATCTTTGTGTTCGCAATTCGCTATTTCTAGAAGGTTATGTATAAACTTTCATTGTAATAGTTATCGTATACAAAATTAATCCCTTACCTTGTTTGTGTGGAGAATTACCCGCAGAAACGCTCTATCCGCTAACAAATTTAGAGAGTTTCGTTTCCGAATCTTAACTTCTCTTTTTAGGAAATCGATGAACTAATGTTATACGTTCGTAAAAGAGTACATTTTGATTGTCGCGATCAAAACCTTGTTGGTTGTGACCAATTCTTTTTCTTGTATCGATCAGTGCAAGAACTCATATCCTTTTAGGGTTTTTAACTAACAAATTGGTAATTATAGCAGTTTATAAGCTTGGAAAAAGCGCATGCCTTTTTGTTGTTCTTGGAAAGAGGAAGAATAACGATTAGTGAGATGTACAATACACATAACCAATACTTGAATTTGATTGATTTGAATTTTGTTTACAAGTTAATCAATCTTTAATTTATGAAGCTATATGTATTCATTGTGCTATATCTTTCCTGTTTCAGACTTTCATCCAGAGTGATTTCTCATAGTAGTTTCTCCTAATGGCTGGACAGAAGAACGACTATGGGAAAAAGTCCCATTATCAACCTGATTTCCATGGAAATGAAGGAGGCAACAGAACAGATGAGAGGGAATCACATGGAATTGGACCAGAAGATACAGTGTATCGTTACTTATGCCCTAGTAGAAAAATCGGAAGCATAATCGGAAGAGGTGGAGAAATAGTAAAGCAATTAAGATTAGACACTCAAGCCAAGATTAGAATCAATGAATCCATTCCAGGTTGTGAAGAGCGTGTTGTCATCATCTACAGTTCAAGTGAAGAAACAAACAGTTTTGGAGATAACAATGATCTCGTTTCACCTGCACAGGATGCTCTGTTTAAAGTCCATGATAGAATCGTTGTTGAAGAAGATGAGTTTGATGAAAGTCAACAAATTACTGTGAGAATGCTTGTTCCTTCTGATCAAATTGGATGTGTGATTGGAAAAGGTGGACAAGTTATCCAAAACATACGTAGTGAAACACACGCTCAAATCCGTATTCTAAGCAACGAACATCTTCCAAATTGTGCACTGAATTCTGATGAACTTCTCCAGGTATATAAATTATATAGTCATAAACAATCTTTTTACTAAATTTCTTAACTTGTGTTAAAAGAGTTATGATATTGTAGATAAGTGGGGACACTGCAGTTGTAAGGAAAGCTTTATATCAGTTAGCATCTCGCCTCCATGAAAATCCATCAAGATCTCAACATCTACTATTGTCATCACCGAGTCTTCATCGAGGAGGGTACATGGGCCCACATTCCGGGGCCCCACCCGTGTCTTTAATGGGTCCTTATGGGAATAATGGGGGAGATTGGAGGGAATTCTCACTTCGTTTTGTTTGTCCAACTGATAACATTGGAGCTGTGATTGGAAAAGGTGGTGTGATTATCAAACAAATGAGGCAAGAATCTGGTGCTAACATTAAAGTTGATAGTTCTTCTGCTGAAGGAGATGATTGTCTCATAACTGTATCTGCAAAAGAGGTATTACTTTTAACAAGATTTATGTTGTTATGATCTTTTGTTTATATACTTTTTTTTTTTTTTTTTTTAAACAGGTGTTTGAAGATTCATCTCCAACAATTGATGCAGCTATGCGATTGCAGCCTCGATGCAGTGAGAAAAGTGAAAAAGACAGTGGAGTTTTTGTAATCACTACTCGTTTGCTTGTTCCAAGTTCACGAATCGGATGTTTAATTGGTAAAGGTGGAGCCATTATTTCTGAAATGAGAAATTTAACAAGAGCAAATATTCGTATTTTGAACACTGAAAATCTCCCTAAAGTTGCTTCTGAAGATGAAGAAATGGTCCAGGTTTTCTTCTTCTTCTTCTTGTTATTCTTCTCTCTCACACACACACAGTTGATGATGGAGATGTTGATAATGGTTTGCGTAGATAACTGGAGACATTAATGCTGCAAGTAGTGCGCTTTTACAAGTGACTACACGATTAAGAGCAAATGTGTTTGAAATGTCGATGGAAATGGCGGATGGATCAAGATATGGAAATTCCCGTGGACGTGGGAATTCGTCTCATTCCGGAAGATTCGATCAGGATTTGCCTCCCGGTGACGGTTATGGTGGGCCCCAGTCCCAGGTAAGAATTTAATGAACCCTATGTTTTTTTTTTGATTCTTTTAAGGTAATCCAAAATTGATGCTTTTTTTGTTAGGTTTCCGGGAGCGGTTATGGTGCTTACTCCGGCCGCAGGTAAAACTTCATTTTTTTTTTTTTTTTTTTTTTTTTTTTACTTATGACAGAACATAACGTGACATGACAGACTTATACTGTGTTTGACTTGTATTTGACCGGTCAATGGAATATTATTTTGGATTATAATAATTAGTTTGATGTGATTAGGGCATCTAGTCCGAATCCCATTGCTCATGGAAAACATCATGGCTATTAAGTTTTTGGGTTCTTTTGCTTAAGGTATACATATTATTATTATTACATAACCAATTTTCATTCACTCATAAATCATATTTAGATTAAACATGTATTTAGTTTTAATGATGTTTTTTTTTTTTAATTGGAACAGCTGTGAACTGTGATGCCTGAAGGATGGTTATAAACGAGAAGAGAAGAAGGCGAGGGCATTATAGTACATTGTAATTATGTTTTCGTTAGAGGATATTTATCTGTCTTCTACTTAGATACCATAATATCTGAACTCCATGCTTATAAACCATTTTGACCTTGATGTTTTTCCTGCTATAGGGATTTTTTTATTTTATTTTTTATTTGTTTGTAAATTTTATAACAGGAATCGTGGTTGTTTTGTTTATGCTCAACACAATTAAAGATTTTGAAGAATTAGGGTTTGGAAAAAAGTATGGATTTCTTGTCTATATTTATGCATGTTTATTATATTTGTTAAAAAATGTTGGTTTGATTCCTGTTTAATTGTATTACTTATTTGCTTGATTCTTGTTCATGTTTATAGTTATGAGATTTTCTTAAATTTCATACGTGATTCATTTACTTTGATTTATTAGGGCTGATACAGAATCTCTAAATTCTCAAATTTCATAGGAGCTGCAAAAATCTATAACATTCGTTTGTTAATCGAAATATGGCGTGTAATACTCATAATGTAGTCGGATAAAATTGTCTAGTACTAAAAATATAATCTCTAATGTTCTCATCCTACTGAAATGGATGACTGATCGTCGCAAGCTTTAAAATATCCTATTCGACACTTTCAATATCAAGTTTAAATTCTCTAACTCTCCTAATTTGAAATAGACACTACTTCGAATGAAAGAGTTAATCACCGGTTACCACTGTTAGGGCTATGCATAAGGAAGATGGGTCTAAAGGCCGATCTAATTTTTTTAATATATCCTAAAGTTTGTATAGAATTTTTTATTGTAACCAACGTCAGAAAAATTTTAGGACCTATTTTATCAAGAAAATTTTTGAATATGTATAGAAAATTATTATATAAAAAAATTAGTGAAACATATGGTTTTTTATTCTAGATTCACTACTGTCCGTTACCCATATGACAAAAACAAGATTTCATTAGTTTAGATGCTTGAGAACCGAACAAAAACCAGGAACGAGACCCGAAAAGGATATTTCATATGTAATCATGTGTAATCTTGAAGGTTCTCTATGTCTAAGGCAAATAGGCCCTTTTTTTATTACTATATGTTACACTAGTAATATTCCTTTGTAGCATCATTGTGTATTTTACTTGTGTTTAGTTTTTTCTGATTTGGAAGCACATGAATTTAATATAAAATTATTAACACACTGTTGTTATATATTCTTTAACATTCCATTTTAGAACTGAACAAATTAAAAATTAAATATCGACTTAAATAATCAGACTTAATAATAACTTATTTCAAACTACTTATTATAGTTTATTATAGTTTGAACCCAATTTACCAATTTACACTTACTTTAAAAAAACTTGTGGGATATAAAAAGATCGAGTCCAATTTACCGATTATAGTTTATTATATTCATTAGTATTAGTTGTGAGATCCATGTAATATATGAGTTAATTAAAAAAAAATTAAATATAAATGTCAAAATATTTGAGAACTTTGAGTTTATAAAAAAATAAAAATAAATATTGAATTATTATAATTAAAATGTTTTTTATCTTTTAAATTTAAATAAATAGTTTAAATAAATAACAAAAGAAACTAATGAGCTTTAATTTGAGAATTTTGAAATTAAAATGTAAGTTTATTAATAAAATTGATATCCATTTATTACTATATTTATTGCAATTATTACATTAAAATAGTATGTTGAATTTAATAAAATAGAAAATCTCATAAAATAACATGTGAAAAAAAATTAATTCAAAATAACCACAAAATGATATTTGATAAATTGAATGAGAATGTGATATGTGACAAAAAATGTTTATTTATTAGAGTAGATATGCTCGTTTTATTTTCTTGTTATCATTGAGAGAAATGTAAAAAAGAGTGTGCGAGATATTTATGTCCCAAACAAGAAGTATGATATTTATTTATTATGTGTTTTTTGGGATAAATGAGTAAAACAATCTAAGAAAGATTAATCGATTGTTTGGACCCCTCCACCTAGACCTGACAATGACAATGGAGCGGGGTTGTTGTGGATTGGTATTGATCCAAACCCATTAATTAATTTTCAAATGTTGATTTAAATTCGACCCATAACCCTTAGGGTTTTGAATAATTAAACTCATACTATTATCCATCAGATTAACAAATTTTCAACCATTTTGTCCAACCCGTTTACAATATTAATATTATGCTATAATTACAGAAAGCAATGGAAAAATTAAACCCATAGATTAAAACTGAATAAGAAAACAATAAGAAATCAATTTCATCAATGGATCAAGAAATCTAAGTCATGATTTCAGTAAGGTACGATTTAAATAAGTCCCGCAATTATAGCACAGTAACACAAGCTTTCAGTAACCAGTAAGGCAGCAACAAAGGATTTCAATAGGTTATGATTTTAATAAGTCGATTTCAATAACGTACAATTTGGAGTAGAGAAGTTGAGATTAATCAATTTTATTAGAATTTTAGAAAACAAATTTGATTGTGAAATGTCAATTGCAGAACACCCTTCTACGAAACCAGATAGATTGAAGTTTTTTCTTCTTTTTATTACTATATGTTACACTAGTAACATTCCTTTGTAGCGTCGTCGTGTGTTTTACTTGTGTTTAGTTTTTTCCAATTTGGAAGCGCATGAATTGATTTGGATTAATATGAAATTATTAACACACCCACTTTTATATATCCTTTAACAAGTCATTCCTGGAATACCTCTGGAGCGACAGGTGGAGTTCAGGATTGACCTAGTCCCTGGTGCGGCTCCGATAGCCAAGGCACCGTATCGGTTGGCTCCTCCTGAGATGTAGGAGTTGTCTACACAGCTACATGAGCTATTAGACAAAGGATTCATTAGACCGAGCAGTTCACCCTGGGGGAGCCCCGATCCTGTTTATGAAAAAGAAGGACGAGTCACATCGGATGTGTATAGATTACCGGGACAGAATAAGGTAACGGTGAAGAACCGTTACTTGCTTCCGAGGATTGATGACCTCTTTGATCAGTTGCAGGGAGCATCTTGGTTCTCCAAGATCGATTTGCGTTCAGGTTATCATCAGATGAGGGTCAGAGAGGAGGATGTGCAAAAGACCGCGTTTCGGACGCGTTATGGCCATTATGAGTTCGTGGTGATGCCGTTCGGGCTCACCAATTCTCCTACCGCGTTCATGGACCTCATGAACCGCGTGTGCAGACTGATGCTGGATTGGTCTATGATAGTTTTTATCGATGATATCTTGGTTTATTCCAAAACGCAGGAGGAGCACGAGGAGCATCTGAGAGAGGTTTTGGAGACTCTAAGGAGGGAGATCTTGTACACCAAGTTCTCTAAATATGAGTTTTGGTTGCGCGAAGTGCAGTTTCTTGGGCACCTCGTCAACCAGAACGGGATTTCACTAGACCCGACCAAGGTGGAGGCCGTGATGAGATGGGAGGTTCCGAAGTCTCCATCCGAGATTCAGAGTTTCCTAGGCTTAGCAGGCTACTATCGGAGATTCATTCAGGATTTCTCCAAGATAGTCGTGCCCCTGACACGGTTGACTAGGAAGGTCGTGGTCTTTCGATGGGGGGCCGAGCAGCAGACAACATTCGAGGTTCTGAGACAAAGATTGTGCGCGCACCAATCTTAGCCCTATCAGAGGGCGTAAAGGATTTTGTGGTATTTTGTGACACGTCCATTTCCGGATTGGGTGCGGTGCTGATGCAGAGAGGGCACGTCATAGCCTACGCTTCGAGGCAGCTGAAGCCTCACGAGGCGAACTACCCGACACATGATTTAGAGTTAGGGGTGGTGGTTTTCGTCCTCAAGATTTGGCGAGATTACCTCTATGGGGTTCGGTGTACCATTTACACGGACCACAAGAGTTGGAGGTGTTGGGTTTTGGTCATAAGACATCCTATGTGCTCATACAAACCCTAATGCTTGGATCTAGGTTTCTCTATTGTACATGCTTTGAATCCAAGACTATAAACCCTAATTCTAGCATGCAAGTAATCATATTAACATGTAATTAGGTTTAAGAACATACCTTGATTGTTATGTAGTAATAACAATCCCAATTCCTCCTTGTATTGACTTTGGAATGCATAGAGTCACAAGTGTCACTCCTCTAATGGCTCACAAACACCATAAGCAAATGGAGAAGGTATAAAGAGAGAGTGAGAGGTTAGAATTCGTATCTAGGACCTCTTGGGAAGGGATACACGAATTCATGGCCCTAGGGGTGTTTATATAGGTGTAGAGATAGGGTTTCAGTCATTATCCTTATCTAGTTGATTATCCATTAAGCAACCAATAAGATAATCCTTGAATCCTTATCATACTCGAATTCTAAGGGATTTACACCTCAAATTCGTTCACCATATATATAAGATAATCCTTACCTTATTTTGTAACTATCACATAATTACAATTCAGCCCCTCTAGTTTAATTAATTACATTTGATCACAAAACTAATTCTTAATTAATTATTGACCAATATTAATTAAACAAATATGATTTCTCCTTTAATATATTATTCTTATAACATATTAATAAATCATATTATCCTCTCTCTCTTTATTCATTTCTCCAATCAAGTTGCTTTGGTGAAGGCAACCCAAAAGGACCATGCACCATCGGGTCAAGTACATACCAAAATAGTTATGGACTTAGACACTAATCCAACAGTCTCCCACTTGGATAAGTCTAACAACTATTCTGCGTATGACTTCAGATCCTGATCTGCAATCGTAGCTTTCCAAAGCCGCTGTCAACTCTGATCATATCAGATACGCGTGTCCTTAGATAAGGGATCATATATTCCTCCATTCTAGATATCGTATGAGATATGATTTCAATCATTCTCTTTGTACTACTTCTCGATTTCCGATTTATGACGACAGACTAATTGAACAAATCAAATTAGCCCTAGCCCGGCCGAGCATTTACGTATGTCATCACTAAACCATCGAGGGGCCCAAAGATATCGCTTTTATCCTACTTTGGATAAAAGGAACGGATAAACTTTGATACAATGCTTGCTTGCACTCACTCACCGAATTACACACAACAATATGTTTTATAACACCAAGTTACTGGTGCGTTTACATATTATCAATGTGCAACCGATTCGCAAGATACAACTCACACATCTCGGTTTCAAGAATATAAGATGTTATCGTCTCACCAATCACTCGTAATACAATTCATGGAGTGATCCAAGTGAGCGTGGGTTTAATCCAATGCTCAAATCATATTCATAAGCACTCATGAACGTTGCAGCAAACATTTGCTTATGTCTAATACTCTTTAGACAATCCACACACCAATTCACGACAGTC